TATTTTAAGTTCTAGCCAGAGCAGTTAGTCAAGAAAAAAATATAAAAAGCATGCAGATTGGAAAGGAGGGAGTAAAATTATGTCTATTTGCAGATAACATGATCTTGACTATAGAAAACCCTGGGGAATCCACACTCATACAAAGAGCTTTCTTTACAGCTAATAAATGAGTTCAGCAAGGTTGCAGGATCCAAGATTAATATACAAAAATCAACTGTATTTTTACATATTAGCAGTGAATAATTGAAAATTGATGTTTTAAAAAATGTTAGCAATTTTAATAACATAAAAAATATAAATTATTTAGGGATATATCTGATAAAAGAGGAAGACCTGTCCACTGAAAATTATCAAATATTACTAAGAGAAATTGAATAAGACTGAAGTAGAGCAATATACTTTATTCATAAGTGAGAAGACTTAATATTGTTAAGGGATTTATTCTCCAAAAATTTGACCTATGGATCAAATGGGATACCAATCACAACCCCACTCAAAGTTTTTGTAGAGATTAGTAATCTGTTTCTCAAATTCATATAGGCATGCAAAGAACCTAGAATAGCCAAAACAACCTTGAAAAAACAACAAATTGGAAGGCTAACACTGATTTCAAGCCATTAGGCTACAGGAATCACGTCCATGTGATATTGGTGAGAAGCAACTAGATCAGTGGATACTTTTTCTGAAAACAGAAACGTGTCCATTAAATTTGCTGACAGGTGGAGTCATAGTTGATCTTGTACAGATAATATGTGATGGAATGAAAGTGAGAAGCCATATTTCAGTAGACTGAGAAGTGAGTCAAGGACTCCTGGGTAGTATGGGATACTGAGTTCATGTGGAAATCCCCTATTCTCTCTGTTTTAAACACAAAGAGGTTTCTTTGTTTTTAAATTTTTAAAAAGTCAACTCTATGGATCTAAACAAAATGGAACACACAATAGCAAGTGGGGTTGAAGCATTGGCTTACTGGAATGAAAAGCAGGCATTGTTGGCTGACTTTCAACTCCTGCAAGAGAAAATGGACAGGAAGTCTCTGGTGAGTATCAGAGGACCAGAGCCAAGTGCAATGGTTTGAACAGCTGCAGTCTCTTGCATTCTCGGGGAATGGTTAATACTGAAATGCTCCCTAGGGTATGGGAGAAGGTAGAGAATGCCACCTTGGCATGGAGCTGAATTAGGCTCTGGCCTAAGGACCAGAGTCCAAACCATCCAGTTACACCTGGTTCTGAGAGGAGGTCCCAGAGGACCATGCAGAAACAATGACCAAGAATATAATAGCAATGAGAAAGTCATGCTCAAGAGGACTTTGCACATGGAAATCTCAAAGCACAAGGGAAACACTAATGCATAAAAGATAGCCAATAAAATGAAGAAATGGGAGAGAAATCTGAAAAAGTCTTTGCTATCAGTATATTTAAGATCCTGTAGGGGTGCCTGGCTGGCTCAGTCAGTAGAGCATCTGACTTTTAATCCTGGGGTCGTGAGTTCAAACCCCACATTGGGCATGGGACCTAGTTAAAAAATAAAAATAAATGAAAATAAAAGATCCTCTAAAAGGGAAAAGAAAGAATAACATCTACTCTCCCCCTCCCCCCCAAAAGAAAGAAAAAACAGGGTGTTATAAAGGAGAAAAATTGGATGGATAGCTATGAATCAGAAACTGATGGATATGAAAAAGAACCAACTTGAAATTTTGAAGAGGGAAAAATATATTTATTTAAATACAAAATCTCTATAGGTAACATGAACTCTAGCCTGGACACAGTTGAAGATGGAAATTAGTGATACTAGAAATCTGTACAGGGAATGTATCCGGAACACAGAGCAGAGATGAAAACTGCCATTAGAGCAAATACAGATCATGCAAAGAACTGAATGAAAAGTAAGAACCAATGCAGACACTATTTCAAGAATACTAGGTATAAAGAAAAACAGAAAAAGGAGGTACTGGCCAGAAAGAAGACTGTTTTTGAAATGGGAGCTATAACTTGCTTAGTAAATTACAGGAGGAAAGTTAATAGAGAAATTTAATACAGGCAAGAAGGGGATGAGCCAGGGGAAAGGATCAAGATGAGTGTGACATTGTACACCTCTTGGGACCCTGTATCCTTGAGACTGGAGGGCAGGGTGGGTCTGAATGTGAATGAGTTGAGAGAGGGACTGGCCTGGACTAAAGTTTGGGGGGTTGCCAATGTTCCATTTCATCCATGAAATGGGAAGTGATAAACCTGAGAATAAGAAAAGGGCAATGTTGATGGTAAGGTGGTAAGTCATTTATTCATTCAACTACTCTTTATAGAGCACATGTGGGATGACACAGCAGTGAACTGAGTGACATCCAATGGGATTTAGGCACTCCAGAGTTGCTGGAGCATGCCAAAGGTTTACAGAGGAGAGGCAAAGGGGAACAGAGACTATGGAGTAAGAGCATTTTCTCAGACTGCCTGCCTCTGTCAGGCAGGTTGCTTTGGCATTGCTAACCAGTAGGATGACTAGAGCGATAGCAGTCTAGGTCAGTCCGAGGTTGGGTGGCACAGGGTGAGTGAACCTGAGGATAAATCCTACTGAGGATCAGTGGAATCCCACATTCTTCTACCAGCCAGTGTAATGAGTCATGCTCCTCTTTCTCATAGAGGATTTTTATCTTCTCCAGTGGTTCAATTCTGTAAAATCTGAAGAGAGATTTTAATTGAGGTTCTCTTTCCTCAAAGACTTGTTCATTCATTCAAGAAATTTATCAAGCACCTGCTGCATGCTGCGCACCAGTCCAGCTGTTTGGAATATATTCATGAACTACACAGCAAGTGTCGCTCCCTCATGGAGCTCAGCTTGTAGCGGGGGGAGTCAACACACAACGAAGAGTTGTATCGTACAGACTGTTAAGAGCAGATAGTGCCGTGGGAGGAAAGGGAAACGGAAGCAGGGCAAGAGGGACTGGGATTGCAGAGCAGCAGCCTGCACTGTTCGGTGGGTTGGTGACAACAGGGCTCTCTGGGAGGGCAGTGTGTGTGATGACCGAAGCAGGAGAGGGGACGTGTGACTCTGGGGAAGAGCGTTCTGTGCCACAGTCTCTGAGGTGAGAGAGAGCCTGTGTTGGGAGAACAGCCAGGAGGCTGGAGTGGCTGAGGGAAGGAACAAGGGAGAGAACAGGGGAGGATGTCAAAGAGATTGCCTGGCAGGCAGGCTTAGAACTTTCTGGAACACCCTCTACTCTTTTGCATTGGGTTTGGCAGGGTGATGTGGCAGGCATGTGGAAGCCAGCCAGAAGAGGAGGGGAGTGGTGTGGGAGTTGGTGGAAGAATCTGGAGCAGCCCCTGCAGGCTCTCAAGCCCAAGTGATTGCTCTTGCCTGGCCCAGCCGCGACTTCTCGTTCCAGGGCCGGGGGTTGGGGGGTGAAGGAGAGTTCAGACAGCTGGGGAAAGGCAGACAGATGGCCCCAGGAGCACTGTCCAAGTCACGGGTTACCTCGGGCTGACTGAGTGAGCCCAGTGGCTTCATCGATCTGCATAGTTGCCTAACCTAGTCTTTTGAAATGTGGGGCCACGTTGAGTGAGGATTCAAACCCACCCCAAACCCTGAATACTTTTAAAAGCATAAATCAGCCTTTATTTATTTCACCTCCTAGAAACAGAGGCAGCAGCGACAGTCCCTGCGTCCCGGAGATCCCGGGATCATATAACTAGCTCTCACGGCTCTTCCCACGCAACGCTGTCAGAGGGAAGAGGCCTGCCTTGCATGTGAAGGGGCTCTGGTTGGTCGCGCTGAGTTACTTCACATGCCAGGGAGATGCTGTGAGGATTTATGAGTAGATTATCTATTCAAGGCATATTTGGGGGCTGAGAATATTGTTTTGCTTTATCACGTGTATTTCTTTCATATTGCAAAGCCACGAATGCCACGAATTCTGGTGGTAGAAAGTAAGGACAGTGTGAGGTGTAATTTTTCTCCGGGTGACAGTGTAAAAATGCTGTAATCTGAGTTGCCCGATGTTGCATGGGACAAATGGCATAAAGTGATGTGGGCTGACACAACCTGTGTCTCCCTTTGGGTCACCAGTCCAGGCCACAAGTCACCGTTCCTCCCATGTGCCTTGCTCTGTCCCCCTGTGTGTTTCTTCTGTGATTGGTAAGGAGACAGTTCTTCAAAATCACTAACATAAGCTGCAGCAAGATTCATTTTAATTAGGTGCTGTGTTTAGAAGGGACTTTATGTTTTCAAATGGTGGATTTTTACAAACGTCAGGCCTTCAGACCCTTACCATCCTTAGGAGGTATTTTTGCTGTCAGTAGGGGGCAGATTCGTCATTGTGAGGTTCCTGTTCTGTAAATGCAGAAACTGTTGCTTCGGGGTGTGAGCAAGGCGACAGCCACCGGCAGATCGCCGTGAGAGGGGTGATGGCTCACCCCCAAGGCTGCAGCTGCCTTCCTCCTGTGACTGTCACCAGCTAAAGCTGCCGCACATGCTCGGCCCGAGCTCAACCAGCTCAAATACCAAGTGTGAACAGAGTTCCGGGTTACAGCTCTGGGGTCGAGACCAACCAGAGCCAGGCTGTTGGCAGTGATCACCTTACAGGGAGTGGTGTCTAATAGTTCCGGGGCATCTTGGGGCTTCTTCAGGATTCTGTCACAGGCCTTACTTTTATGAACGTTTTCACAAGGGCATTGTAAGAGAATTTGTAAGTGTATTAGTTCATCTCAGCAGAGGAAACCAGTTAGAAGGCTTCATGGGAAGCTGGGAACATGCCCACACTCGTGGCAACCTTGGAAAGGATGTTTTTGCTCCCCCTGAGGGTGGGCTGTTTTGTGCTGTGGCAGGGCTTTGGGGAGATGGGATGTGTTTTCCTGGTTGCCTGGCCTCAGTCTCTCTCCCTGTGGAGCGTGGCCGGGTGTGGAGAGACCGAAGAGAGGCGGTGAGCCCGAGGAATGAGTCCATGGCGATTGCATTGCCATGGCAAACTAACCTTGCAACCCTACTCTCTCTCCAACCTCATGCTCCAGCTGCCCACTCCTCAGCCCAGGCCCAGGACCGACCAACGGCCACCGTGTCACCCCTGCGCACCCAGAACTCCCCATCCCGCCTGCCTGCCGCCAGCCTCAGGCCCCACTCGGTGGTGTCCCCGCAGCACGTGCACCAGCCCCCCGTGCAGACGGTCATTGGGGCCCCGTGCCCCCGACCAGCCATCCCACTCACATCCGCAGCGTCTGCCGTCACACCTCCCAATGTCAGTGCCGCCAACCTCAACGGGGAGGCCGGAGGGGTGCCTGTCAGTGGCCTGTCGTCATCCAGCCCCACCAACACTGGATGCAAACCAGATGACAAGAAAAATGAAAAGGTAAGTGGCTTATCCTGGGCAAGCCCTGGCCGTGGCCCAGCTGGTTATTGTAACTCTTTGGCACCAGACACCAATGACATTTTGTAAAACTAAGGCTTGAATTAGGGCACCAAGTTCCTGCCCTCAGAGGCTTCAGGCCTATGACAGAGATGGAGGCGAAACCAGCAAAGCAGCTGTCCTTGGAGTGGAATTCAGGAAGGCTTCAGGTTCTGGTAGGGTGACCCGAGCCCAGCTATAGCTTTTATGCAAATCAGAAAAAAAGTATCGCTTCCTCAGAATGCTCTAATTCTGTCTGTTGGAAAATCACTGTAATAGACTCATTTTGTTAGAACAAGATACTTATTGCCAGGTACCAGGATATAATAATAATAAATATATAAATCTATTTATGTACAGTGTGAACAGCTTCCCTTCCCTTCAATGTGTCATCCTTGTGCAGTCTACAACCTGTTCAACCACGTGGGACAGGCCTGTTTTCTGAGGAGAAACAGGAGGGGGATGCTGGTCTGATGGTTGGTATAGACAGCATTTTCAGCTATTCTTTTAACTTGTGAAGGAAATTGGGCTTATTTCACAAAAGAAATCTGAGTTCAATGAGGTTGCCTCTGTTACTACCCAGCTAGACACTGGATTAGCCAGGATTAGAGTCCAGATTTCTAAATCAGTGCTGCCCAATAAAACTATAATTCAAGCTACCAAATTTAAAATCTTCTAGTAGTCACATTTTTAACAAGTTAAAATAATTTTAAAAATAAAATTAAAAGGTGAAATTCATTTTAATTGTATAATCTATTAAACCCAGTATCTAAAAATATTATCATTTCAACATGTAATTTGTATAAGAAAAATGTTGATGAGGTGTTTTGCCATTTTTCACATTCAGTCTTTAAAACCCAGGGAGACATCTGCAGTGCTCACGGGCCACTGCACTGCCCATTGCTGTCCTGGACAGTGTGGACCCACATTTCCAGCTGGGAGCTACTCTCTTCATTGCCTTGCTGTATGAACAACGTATTCTCATTCCCTCTTGGCTCTACCACATGATGTGGATCTTTGAAAACCTTTCTATATAAAACCAGTCTTCCTTTTTTTTTTAAAGATTTTATTTATTTATTGAGAGAGAGAGAGCGCACACAAGCAGGGGGAGCGGCAGAGGGAGAGGGAGAAGCAGGCTCCCTGCAGGGAGCCCAATGTGGGGCTCAATCCGAGGACCCTGGGAACATGACCTGAGCCCAAGGCAGACGCTTAACTGACTGAGCCACCCAGGCGCCCTAAAACCAGTCTTCTGATAAGAGTGTGCGAGGCAGAGCTGGGCTGAGGCCTGCCACACAGGATGATGTATTCAGGGCCAAGACAACCTCTCCTGTCCCTTGAGGAATAGTACCAAAACCAGCGTTGGCTGCCCAGTCCCTTGCCCAGGGCCCTGGAGGCATGCCCACCAGCTCACTTACTGTGCTCAGCAGGAGCCCAGAGGCCTCTCAGAGCTTTACACACAAGATTCCTCAGGGCCCCCGATCAGTGGTGCTCAGGCCTCATCACCACCTGTCTCACCTGGTCTGGAGGAATATTATGCCCAAGCTTGGGAGTGCGGAAGAGGCCTCAGTCATAGCCACTGCTACTGTGCTCTCAGCCAGCACAGCTCAAGTCCCCTTGAGACCAGCAGGTCCCGCGCATGAAGTGAAATGGTTGCTCTGTGGTTTGTGTCCATGTCTGTTTGCAGATCCCTTAGGTCTTGGTCTGCTCCCTTCCACCTCGCAGCCTGGTTAGGAGGTATAGCTGGGTCTCACTGGGAGGCAGAAGTGGGGGTGCAAGCCCACCCTCTCACTTGGCCATGCTTCCTGGAAGACTAGATCCTCCAGGCCTTAAACAGGGGATGGACTTGGAAAGGGGAGGGCAATCATAGTTCTGTAAACATTTCTGGTCCTTTACCAAAAAATTCCCTCTGTCTAGTTTGCAAAACAGATAGGGCTAGCGTCAGGAGGGCTCATGACAATAGAGTCAGGCTTGGAGGAGTCTACATGGAGAGCGATATTGCTCGCCATCTTGCCCTCTTAAGCGTGTTGCTAAGGAAAACCAGCGCTGGGCCTGCTCTCAACATTCCCAGCCTCTTAGACACTTAGCAGGCATTTTGTTTTCACTCAGGGTTCACTCTCTGCTAACAGTTCTCCTACATCAGCAAGGAAGAGTTGAGTCCAGGGGACACCCAGAGGGTCCCTCCTGATGAAAGGCACTGTGGAAGGAAGCCCTGCTTCCAGAAGGAAAGCAGCAGAGATGTGCACTTCACTCGGGCAGCAGAAATGCACAGCCGATGCCAGCCTGGAGTGGCCACGCTCAGGGCTGGGCGCTGACTGCCCGCGGCCCGGGACTGTCCATGCTATGCTCCCACGTGGGAAGTGAAATGGATATTGCCGGATGAAGTGAGCGCATGTTCGTGGGGATGGCAGCAATCGTCCGCCTCAAACCCCGGTGGAGAAATACTGTACATCGTCCTTCCACGTGTTATGTGTGGTTTTCACACATTTTCACACCCTTCTCAAAGCATAAACAAAAAAAAGCACTAGTCTGAAAAAAACACCTGTTAATGGTTTTTCCTTTTGTATTCCCAGTAGAATTTCTCCTACCTTATAGTAAAGTGCAAAACATCTACAGTTGCCATTTCTAGCAGAAGAGCCAAAATGGTAGCTGTTCCCGTGAACCCGTGTGGTGTGCTCTAAACCAGCCCAAGTGGGGCCTTGTGCCTTTGTGCCGCGCCCCCCTCCCTGCCGCCGGGACCGCAACTGAACAGATTTCCCCAACTTAGAAAACACAGCAGTTGCCCTCAAATCTATTTCTGTGTAACCCCATCACAGATGTGCCCATCTCTAATTACAGTGGAAGGATTTTTTTAAGTAATTTGCAGTATTCTCCAGGTTGTTTCTGTTAATGAATTTTCCTCTGAAAAAGGTGGAGCTCCCAGCCCTGCTGTCCGTGGAGACCCAAACCACAGCGCTTGTGTGTTTTCACAGTGCCGAGCTCTTCTGGAATTCGATCCAGGCCCTTCCAAGCATGGGCACAAGAGAGAAGACTATGACTGATGGGGCTCCTGGCCCCTGAGGTAGTGGCAGGGGTGATTGTCTCCTAGGAGCATGGGAGATTTATTGCCAGGCGTCCCAGCATGGGGGATACGAAGAGGCCCCACACCTGGCTCATGTGCTTTGATTGCTGTGGAGATCCCTGGGAGCCTGGTGCTCTGCTGGTTCTACCCTTGGAGATTGGGCTTCTCAGCCCTGCTGCAAGCAGGCCTTGCGCATTGGCCCTGCTTGGCCCACTTTTGGGTTGAGGCCTCCAGAGAGACTCAAGGGCTGACAGGGTGGGGACTCTTTCTGTAGACTGGATCATGAGCCAGAGCTCTTCTCTGGGCCCAGGGCTTCTGCCAGAGTGTGCAGCCTCCAGCCTCTCTCCCAGAGGCTCTTCCGGCCCATCTTCCTGGGCCTGTGCCTGCCTGCAGGGGCTGCCCTGTGGCCCGGCTGCCAGCACACAGCAGCTCCATCCACCTGGAGAATGGCCCACTTCTGCTAGCAGTGCCCAGTCCAGAGGTATACCCCTGTGCCTCGGCCCTGGAGCCCACAGTGAAAGACTGGAGGGCTTCCTGGCACCTGTGCCAGGACAAGGGTACACAGAGGATGGGCCTGAGATGGGGGAGTTCTGATCCAGGGATTCACTCAGAGCCGTGGACAACAGTAGGGACTCTTCCAGCATCTGGAGCCATTTGGGCTGATTGGGGATCTGTTCTGCTTGGGGACAGATCTGTTGGGGGTGGTCCTGCATGGAAGAGAGCCCCCCTCCAAGAAGACCTGGGAAAGACATATGTTGTATAGCTGCAGGGTACTCCAGGCTGGATGGATCCCTTCCCTGTCTCCCAGGTTGGAAACAGTAGAGGCACCCAGGGCGTGGGGAGGACCTCAGGGCACAGAGAAGACCCCAAGGCATGAGAAAGACCCCAGAATATGGAAATCATGAAGGTTACAATCTTCAGAAGGTACAGCCGGTGGGCATCATTGGAGGTCTTCCCATCCAAGGACTTGGGTCTAGTGTTTCTGAAGAAGGGACTGGATACAACTTTTGGAGTCATCTTTTGGTACCCACAGATCACAGAGTGGAAAGAAAATCTTGGAAGAATTTTAAGATGATCTGTAGTGTTTAAGTTAACCCCTTTGTGCTTAAATCCATTTCTGTGCTTGAAACAACCATCAAATACCACCTATCATGTCCATCCATGACTTCTCTATTTCTGAGGCCTTATGAACATTCAGCTCCAGATGATATGGATCAGTTATTGCTCAGGGTCAACTCCATGGGAAAGTCATTGGAAAGCGAGCACTGTGCCCCCAGACAGAGGCCACGGTCAGTGACTAGCAGCAGTGACTGAGGAAGGAAGTAGAAGATCATGGCCCTCCTGAAAGCCAGGAAGCTTTCCCCGGCCTTCTGGCTAGAAGTCACTCACTCACCCCCCTCTCTCCTGTTTATTACAAGGTGCATGTATGTGGTCCTGGCAGAGTGCTGGGCCCTGGGAATCTATAGCGAGAGAAGATTCTGCTCTGGCGTGGAGGGACACTGAGTCTAGTACTGGAATGCAGGCTGGTAAGCAGGCAACTGGGATAGAGTGTGACAGGTCTGGGGACAGGGAAGTTTTTTTGGGGGGGGGCGGGTTCTGCCTGACAGGTAGGAGGACATTCCAAGCTGAGGGATGTTTCTCAAAGGTGAGGAGCCCAGGAGCAGGTGGGAGGTAGAAAGGCAGATCTAGAAGGGCCTTGAGATCAGCCACACACTGTTGAGCAGTTTGAGTTGTTGGGTGCTGGCTGAAAAGGTATAGTTTGGGTTGTTGGGTGCTGGCTAGGAAGGTATAGTTTGGGTTGTTGGGTGCTGGCTAGGAAGTTGGGATTTAAGTTCTGATCAAAGGAGGTTAACTGTGCTCCTTCCCTCCTCTGAGTTCTGGACCCCTCACTGTCTCTGTTCTTCCT